CAACCGGGCACATGATCATTTCCAGTGCCAATTCCTTCATCCTTCGCCAGGACTCACTGACAAATTAATTCGGCTTGATTTTGTGGCTGGGTGCGATGCAGAAACCCTGGCTGAGTGGCAGGGATAACAGGATATACATGCACTGGCAGTCGAGAGGCTTTGACAAATGATGTGTGATTATGCCGCACTCACTTTCGCCCACTCCACCTGCTTTCACCGAAACTATTTGCTTAGCTGCTGTGCACTTTCCCCTTGCCCGAGGAGCAACCAAGAAATGCAATCAATTTGCTCAACAATTTTTGTCATTTGTTAAATTGGAAATTGCCAGCTGCAGGCCTTTTAAATGCAAAATGGGGAGTGTGGGAGCTGGCGAATTCCTTTGGACATTTCGAGAATTCTCTTTGTCCTGAGCCTACCGACTGCAAGTCCTTTTGCCCATTTTGTTGATTGGTCGCCTTCAGGCCTTGAGAGCTCTGTGCAACTTTTGTTGATTTTTAATTGCGTCGATTTCTCCAGCACACAGCCACACCGAGAAGAAATAATTTATAACCCGGCCAAAGTCCTATAGCCCAGCCTCTTTGGCCAACTTTCGAGAGCTCATCTCGCATGCAATGGCCAAATAAAATACAGTCCGAGCTGTTTGCTCAGCTCCTTTGTGTCTGCCTTGCCAATTTGTGGCAGAGACAACGATTTGCGATTTTCAGTGGTGTTAATCCTGCGAATCCCTAACCGTAGACTCCAAGCCACACCAATTAAAAGTGACGCCAAATTGGGTAGATCATTAAAAACTTTAATCCTAAAGAGATAAAAGAGGTTTACTAGATAGTTTTAGGATTTTGAACTACCTTGTTTGACATTCGTTAAAACATCAATCAATTCTAACAATTTCTTTAGTTATTGATAAATATTGCACCTTTGTAACTAACTTATTTATAAAACAATAAGAAAATATTAACATTCTTAAAGAATTTTTTTAAGAAACTGACGAGGGACTTTATCATGCCATGTTAAAAACTATTCAATATCGGTTGTTTCCATGCTTATTCCAATTATCTTATTAGCACTGTGTACCTAGTTTGAAATTCGTAAAAAAATTAATTAATTGTAACAAATTTTTTTAGTTTTAATTAAATATACAAATACAAAAAATTAGATAATATTAACATTTTTAAAACATTTTTTTGAGAAACCTACTAGTTACTTTAGTCTGCCTTGCTAAAAATGACTAAATCTCTCCAGTTCCCTTGCTCATTTTAATTATTTTATTAGCACTGTGTACGTAATATAATAGTGCTTGCGCCCAAGGACCAAACGTGGCGAGGCAATCGCTTTATAGTCCTGGCCAGCACACATGCTCACGTTTTATTGAAGTGTTTAACTCATGACCAGACATTAACAACGTCTGGCGTCTCTCTCCTTTATCTTCCACGGGGCAATCAAAGCATTGTCCTTTTACGGCATCGCCCTCCCCCCTTTCTCCGCCCCCTTCGATGCCAGGATGCGAGTACAGTGAAAGCTGAAAGCACTTGGCTGCATCTTGGCTCATCATCAACGCCAAGTAATTGCCATTGCAGCACTCCATCGCAACCCGCATCCCCCAGATGCTCCGCAGCTCGAGATCTTTCGGGTTTTTGTGTGTTGTGGCATTTATGGTGCACTGGCGTAGTCCTTGCAGGATAAGGTGTCCTTGCTCGGAGTGACAATTAATAGAGCGCTTTATATGGAGGGAAGGAAGGGAAATGGCCATCCCGAACAACACATACATATTATTAAAAATTTAAGAAAAATGGTATACTATTTCTTAAAAATGTTTTAAAATTTTGTATTAGGATATATTTGTTTGTATCGTATTTTTATCAAGATTTTTGATTGCGTTGCTTTTAAGCAAGGTGATAAAAAGAGTTTCTACAAAATATTCCTGAAAATTAAACATTTCTCTAGCTATGCGAATAGCTTGGGGTTGTGGCAACTTAAGGCTAAGCACATTTAAAAGCCAAAGTGATTTCAATGTATACATGCTATTAAAATAAGTTTTAATAATATTTTTAGCCTTTAAGGCTAAGCAGATTTATTTGTCATATTAATTTGAATGTTTTCTAAGCTAGATTTACGGCTGTTAGTGGAGCTTCACCTTCAACACTATTTAATATTTAAGTCAAGGGCTTCCATTAAATGCAAATCTTTTCTAGACTTAATGCAAATATCATTTGATCATCTGCATATTTTCTGCCTGAATAGTCAGTCATCCCAACTAAGCCTCATCGAAGACAAATATCGAAGGGACCACTTCCACGCCCACTTTTCCACCTTCGCATCTGCTCTTTTCTGCACTCGATGCCCTCCACTCCACTTCAATTCATTTAACTGTGTTAAATTAAATCACAAATCAAAAATCAATTACAGTTATTACAACGACTGCGACGATGTCTACGATTTCCAATCTCTAAGCGAGCGCGATTTCCACCCCCGTTCGACTTTTCCGACCCCCAAACAGCTGCATCCCAAGTGGGGGGTTCCTCGGCAGGAGGAAGTTCCGGGTCCTGCGACTGGCATGGTGACCTCTATCTATATCTCTGGTCTCTGGCTACGGGTCTGATGCTGATTCCCACTCGGAGTCGGGAGTCGAGAGTCGCGGGAGTCGGGAGTCAGGGGTCCGGAGACTGGGTCTGCGGCTCCTTGGGCGCACATTCCTGCAATCTGTTCGAGCTGCCTTTCTGCCTTTCTGCCATTTGCTGGCTGGTTGGCTCACTGGCTGCCTGGCTGCCTTACTGCCTGTGACTTCTGGCCAAAGCTTCATCAATAATGATGTTATCGGTTGCACAGGCACACACCGAAGGCAACGAGGGCAGCACACGCTGCATATTTATTTAAAGTTTTATGGGTTGTCCGGGCCGGGCCAAGATGAAGTCTAGTTGGAAATGGAAATCGCTCGGCGGAGGAAGCAATTCCAACTGATTTTTAATTTCGATTTGATAAAGATTTTAATATTGTTAGCCGAAGATGGTGCGGCCAAACGGGGGGCAACATCAAATTAATGTAACGGATGTTGATTGCTCGACGAGCTAAAAGTGATTGCAGTTGGTAAAAAACGTTGATTGATTTTCTCCCTTCTTTAACAGTTGATGGGGGGGATGGTAGTTGGAAAAGCGTTTAAATTAAAGGATTATTTAATTACTGGAAAAGGTTTGCATCTCTATTGCTTCTCTTGGCTAAATAAATGTAGATCAACTTAAAATTTAATGATACATTTATTGATTTCTTAAAGCGATTGTTTATAACAGTTCGGTAAAAGAGTAGATGAAGTAATTAGTTTAAGATAATAATCATATTTTTTCGAATTTTCTAATTTTTTCTTAGTTTAAAGATTAAAACATAAACATGACCCAAATACATTATGGTAATTGTTTTTTGTACTTCTCTATAAAAATGGAAACATTTAAGAGTACCCTAGTTAGAGTAAGAAAAACCTTTTTCCAGCTTTCGTACCGAAACTGTTTTCATTTCATTAATTAATTTAGCTTTACCTCGAATATCCTTTGTATAATTTTCTGGTTACCTCTGTTGTTTTCCTTATTTAATTTCGGTACGTTTCATCCTGAACCCTTTGAATTCCTTGCCCCGTTTTTGGGATTCCTCTAGTTGACTTCTATCTCGGGGCCCCACCCTTCCGTTGTTAAGCCGTTTGCTTTGTCATTTTGTTGGAAATTAATTCCCGTTTATGTACATTCTGGCAGCTACTGATACTTTTTATTTCGGTGGTTGCAAATTTCATTTGGAACCAGTGCCGGGACCCCCAGTCCCGCTCATCCGCTGGCCCAAATCAACCCCGGAGCTCATCCGAGCTTCATTTGCCTGGAATGTAACCAGACAGTAACAAGTCCTGACTGGATTTTATGAGTTCTGGCTCAACTACAAATGGCAGACATAACACTAAAGAATCCCCGCCCTATTCCTGCGGAGATGGATGTGAGTCCCCAACAGCTGCTGGCCAATTAGATTGAAAAGTTTTCCGGATGGGGGAAGGATAACAATTTACTCGTTCGAGTGGCTGGCTGCTTGATTAATTCCAGAGAAGGAAAGCCCCACTGGAACTGCATTGTCATTTGCATATCCGGAGTCAGGGTCGAATGTCGGTTGGGGCCCAGATTTTGTGGTTTTACTTTTCCGCATCATCAAATCGGAGCATGCAAAAAACATCATGACTGGCGTAATTCACACGCCAATGACTTTCGAATCGACTAAGTACACAGCCACGCACATATGATACATATATCCGTGCACTGATATGGACTGGGTCTCATCTTGGGCTAATCTTATCGGGCGTGGCACAGCTCATATAGCTCGGCAAAATCGCTTTAATATTGAAATTGCCAATTTTGATATTCATTAAATGTTGCGATGTTGAGCGAGAAAACGTGGAGGGGGCGTGGCGACAATGTGGCCCCTGTGCAAGGAAGCGTGCTTATCCTGCCATCGTCCCTGCTCCGGGGTGTGATACGTCGATGGGACGGGGGCAATCAAAATCCATAAACATCAATGTCGCTAAGCAGCGAAATCCATGCACTGAGCAAAGCTTCGAGTGGACTGCGAAATATTAAAAGAACTTACCAATGTAATAACCGCAAAAATTATTACGTATCTACTAAAAAAATACACTTCCTAAATTTTTTTTTATTCGGGACGCTTCATTTAAATGGTATAATTTCTTACCTACACAGGTGTATTGTCTTGCAGCTGCCGAACGAAAAAAAATTTAAATGATTTTATATTCGATGATTTTTAAATTTACAGATTCGTTGATTTTATAATTTGATGGACAGCAGATTCGATGATTCAATGATTTGTTGATTCCATGAATCTTTCATGTTTTCAAGCTGTAGCTGTGGTAAATATAACAAAAGCTTGACAAACTTGAACCGTGACACCTGTAATCTTTTTATAACCCTTGACAAATCGTTAAGCCGCCTTTCAAACCGATTAGCTTCAATATCAGTACAGAAATGAAGACCTTGGGATTACTTTTGGCTCTTGTTTGCATAGTTGGGTTGGTCAAATCTTGGGAATGGCCATGGCAAGAAGGAAAGAGACCTTGGGAGAAGCCGAAGAACCCGATTCCAAGCCCAAATCCTCGTAAGTTCCGCTTTGTCTGATATGGAGTCTTTGAACCAAACTTATTTGTTTCAGGTGATAAGTCGTGCCGTCTTAATCTGGGTCCTGCTTGGGGTGGAAGATGCTAGGTGACTTTATATATTATAAAGAATTAGAGCTTCATTTTTCATATCTGAAATTTCTTAAAAAAACCTCCAAAAAGTAATTTTTATCGCGTCACAAACGAAATAATATACCCGTCAAAATGGGAATAGAAATACATAAAGCAATACATATGGTGTTGGCCCAAACTGGAAATATTTTAAAAGTAAATATAATTGTATAACTTTTTTTGCAAGTGCATAAGTGGCCTCAAAAATTTCACAGGGATCTCATTTCCGTTTTTTCTCAGACCCCATGTTGAAATTTTGTTCTCACGCATTTTATATTTAATTCCTTATCAAGGCATTTTCGACATTGCGGTTCATTATACAGAGAACCGAATACATTCCTGAGTTAAAGCCTTAAGATCTAGGCAGAATGCATATATATATGCACGCAAATATGTATATGGATTCGTGAAGCCTCGTTTAGGCCCTGTGTAAATTTCATCAAAATAAATACAATTTATAGCGCAATAAGCCAATTTATGCCCCATGTTCGTTCTCGCCTCACTCCACTCACAATTTGCATAAATTTAGCAAGTCAGTTGGAAGAGGGTCGTGGGCGGCTGGCGAGGAAATGTTATATGTGTAAACAGCAAATAAATAATATTTGATTACTGTTCGTACCCAAAGGTACTCAACATGACCACACCCAACAAATCAAGCAGTAGCCAAGTTGGGAACAGTACCAGGCGCTCAGTAGCACTCACTGCAGATGAGAAGTGCTTATCAGCATATTATATGTCTCACTAACTCACCGTCTCACCGACTCAACGGCGCACTGACCCGCCAATGCAGTCAGCATATGTTGCAGTGTCAGTACCAGGCGTTCAGTAGCACCCACTGCATATGAGAATTGCTGATCAGCATATTCTCATCTGCAGTGAGTGCTACTGAGCAGACTCAACGGCACACTGACGCGCCAATGCAGTCAGCACATGTTGCAGTTTTAGCTGAGCCAACTGCACCATAATCATAATTCCCTGACCTACTTTAGAATATAGCTTATTTCACTAATCATTACACTAAGCTTCCGTGTTCCAAGTAGTATATAAGCAGGTATCAAATGAAGAATAAATCAGTTATCAACACACCTCTTAACTCCGCGGTTCTACTTCCTACATCTGGGAATAGGGCTCGTAATACACTATCTCAACTAGCAGCTAACCACGTTAGCTTACCCTCAGCGCAGCTCCAGCATCGCCTGTGGTCCGGCATCACAGTAACCTTCGTTACCATTGCCGCGACGCGATCGTCCTGCCAGCAAAGCGTCCCCGTGCCAGCGACAAGTGCTCATTACCCCCTTGTCCCGCGGTGTGACCCGGAAGTGTCTACTTCGGTTAGGCACAAACATTGGTGACCCCGACGTGATCCTTTAACAACAAAGGATCACACTCAAGCAACCCCCTTCCCACTAAAGGACTCACAGCTTTATCCAGCTTCACAGGGCTCGCTTCTTCTTCCAGCGTCACAGGAACTTCAGCTTAATCCAGCTTCACAGGATACGCTTCGTCTTCCAGCGTCACAGGAACTTCAGCTTAATCCAGCTTCACAGGATACGCTTCTTCTTCCAGCGTCACAGGAACTTCAGCTTAATCCAGCTTCACAGGATACGCTTCTTCTTCCAGCGTCACAGGAACTTCAGCTTAATCCAGCTTCACAGGATACGCTTCGTCTTCCAGCGTCACAGGAACTTCAGCTTAATCCAGCTTCACAGGATTCGCTTCTTCTTCCAGCGTCACAGGAACTTCAGCTTCATCCAGCTTCACAGGATTCGCTTCTTCTTCCAGCGTCACAGGAACTTCAGCTTAATCCAGCTTCACAGGATTCGCTTCTTCTTCCAGCGTCACAGGAACTTCAGCTTCATCCAGCTTCACAGGATACGCTTCTTCTTCCAGCGTCACAGGAACTTCAGCTTAATCCAGCTTCACAGGATACGCTTCTTCTTCCAGCGTCACAGGAACTTCAGCTTCATCCAGCTTCACAGGATACGCTTCGTCTTCCAGCGTCACAGGAACTTCAGCTTAATCCAGCTTCACAGGATACGCTTCTTCTTCCAGCGTCACAGGAACTTCAGCTTAATCCAGCTTCACAGGATACGCTTCTTCTTCCAGCGTCACAGGAACTTCAGCTTATTCCAGCTTCACAGGATTCGCTTCTTCTTCCAGCGTCACAGGAACTTCAGCTTCATCCAGCTTCACAGGATACGCTTCTTCTTCCAGCGTCACAGGAACTTCAGCTTAATCCAGCTTCACAGGATTCGCTTCGTCTTCCAGCGTCACAGGAACTTTAGCTTCATCCAGCTTCACAGGATACGCTTCTTCCTCCATCGTCACAGGAACTTCAGCTTAATCCAGCTTCACAGGATACTCAGCTTCATCCAGCTTCACAGGATATTCAGCTTCACAAGATTCTTTGTTTCCAAGACACACAATATGTCTACTTCATTCATTGAGGAAACAAGTCACACAAGAATCGATTTACACAATCGATTACTAGACACCCAAAACGAGCTGCAAGGGAAAATCCAACAGCTCATTAAGAATTATGGCAAGGATTCTGCCGACCGACGCCACCGAGACGGCTATTATTCCGGTAAGCTAAATCAGTTAAACGATCTCTGGCAGCAGTTTTGCGACCTAGATGAAGAAGTCCAGCAAGCGGCATTACCCACTGGAAGTGAGTACTCTTCACGACTAGTAGAACTTAAAGAGCTGGTCGAAAAATATCAGAATATCTTTCTGGACAACATGCCGACTGGAAGCGGGCTTCCGAAGGCCCCCAGACGAACGTCGGCCAACATTAAGCTCACAACAAGAGATCAAGTCAAAGGAGATTCCGCAATTGACACGGTGATCCGACAGTTGCAGAGAAGATGCAACGAATTAGAGTCATCATTAACATTAGCCTCGAACGCCCCAACTGTCACCCCAGCCCTACAAAGGCACCTGGATCTCCATTGGGCGTTACTGAGGCAAGCCCACGACGAATTGGATAGCACACCTGGGGCCGCAGCTCTGGCAGAAGCAGAGCTAGCCCAATTCCACACATTATACGAGGAATACGAAATGAACCTGCTACGAGAAAACGACGCGCCAATGAGCCTAAACTTGGCACTTCCGCCAATTAGCATTCCGGAGTTCAACGGCGAGTATCTAGACTGGCCACGGTTCCATGATCTCTTTGTGGAATTGGTACATAACAAAGCATATTCGGCCAGTCAAAAGCTACATATTCTACAGAGTTCGCTTCGTGGTGAAGCGAGGAACGTCTTGACAGACACAGCCTTCTCACAGGGTGGCTATGACGACACCTGGTTGCGGTTGAAGGCCAGGTACCAGAACGGCAAAATACTAGTATTCGCCGCCATAGCAAAAATTGTTGACCATAGGCTTATAGACGGCTCATCGCGCCAACTAAGGGCCTTACATGACACTATAAAAAACTCAATGAGTACTCTTAAAAACCTCGATATCAGCACAAAATCCTGGGATCCAATCCTGTGTTTTCTTATCAGAAGAAAACTAGACCAGCAGTCTCTAGCTGCTCTAGAAAATTCAGCGGATGCACCAACGGAAATTCCAACGTTATGGAGTGTACTGACGTTTATTGAGCGGCGCGCTTGCATGCTGGAGACTATAAACGCTCAACCTACAGCAACACTCCGCCATCAGTCAGTTCACAACGAAGAGAGCTGTAAGATTTGTCACCTAGGACAACATAATCTTAGAGCGTGTAGCCGTATCCAGCAAATGGACCCCAAAGCACGGCGTCAAGCCATTATTCAAGTAGGAGCATGCACAAATTGTTTGTCTACAGCTCATAAGGTTGAAAACTGTGGATCACCGACCACTTGTCGAGTCTGCCAGCAACGGCATCATTCACTGTTACACCAAGGACCGACTAGCAATCCAGTGGCCGGCGCAGTAACCATTGCAGGCTACGACCACGTAGGAGGATATACTATGCTCGCAACCGCCAAGGTCTCATTACAAGGGCCAAACGGTCAATTACAAACATGTCGCGCTGTAATAGATGGTGGATCACAGGTGAATCTTATCTCAAGGAGAATGGCAGATCTTCTATCTCTTAAAGAAAGGTCACCGATTGAAATATCTGGAATCGGAGGAAAGATATCAACAGCAATTAGATCAACACTAAAGCTCTCATCATGTACATCAGGGTTTGAAAAACTATTAGAGGTATTTATTATGCCCACAGTCATTACAGACCAACCGTCAGTACCGATTACAACCGATCTTAATATTCCCGAGGGACTGCCGTTAGCAGATCCTGACTTTCGGCAACCAGGACCCATTGACCTAACGTTAGGGGCTGAAGTATTTTCTCGTGTAATTACCGGTGAACGTCTTGAACTAGGACCTAATAAACCTTTGGCACAAGGCACTAGGCTTGGTTATGTAATCACAGGTTATCTCAATAAGGAAACCTCATCTGACACGGAAATCAACCCTATTTTGGTAGAAGGCAGAGGTGATTTTGCAGGACCGAACGCTGCTTATGATCCAACAAAAGATAAAAGTCCGATGAATATAGAACCGACTTCTCATCAATTTAAAACCTACAAGAAGGCTGACTTTGGTTCAACATTTCTAAACTTAACCAAGGAAGATCTTAGTTTTGTTGCAGAATGCCCACACACCATAGACGTGCCAAATGATCAAGTTCTACGAGGGCACAATTTCAGTCCCCACGGTAATGTCAATTTTATCGCAAAGGGGAGTGTTAAGCAGCATCAAGATGTGAAGGACCTGAATCAAAAACATGAACCACAGTTGAAGGAACGATCCACCTTGGTCAATGATTTGTTAGGTGCTTCCGATACAATTCGGTCAAGGGCTGACCGACATCACGACTTAATTGAGGGTACCCCTCAATGGGGGGGAGAATGTTCGTACCCAAAGGTACTCAACATGACCACACCCAACAAATCAAGCAGTAGCCAAGTTGGGAACAGTACCAGGCGCTCAGTAGCACTCACTGCAGATGAGAAGTGCTTATCAGCATATTATATGTCTCACTAACTCACCGTCTCACCGACTCAACGGCGCACTGACCCGCCAATGCAGTCAGCATATGTTGCAGTGTCAGTACCAGGCGTTCAGTAGCACCCACTGCATATGAGAATTGCTGATCAGCATATTCTCATCTGCAGTGAGTGCTACTGAGCAGACTCAACGGCACACTGACGCGCCAATGCAGTCAGCACATGTTGCAGTTTTAGCTGAGCCAACTGCACCATAATCATAATTCCCTGACCTACTTTAGAATATAGCTTATTTCACTAATCATTACACTAAGCTTCCGTGTTCCAAGTAGTATATAAGCAGGTATCAAATGAAGAATAAATCAGTTATCAACACACCTCTT